CCTGACACTTGTTCATTGTTGCAATAGCACCCATGAGCAAGTGCTGGTACTTCGCCCCATAACTACCTTCTTCCCCTGAATACAACGTACGGTCATTATAGCTGTATTTGGGGTATTTTTAGTTGACATACAACCATAATGATCGTACGTTGTATTCCGGGGAAGAAGGTAGGCATGCTGGGAGTCATACCATGCGATCATTTAGTGAGCAATAAAGAAAGCGGGTAGAGGATTTGAGATCCGTCTTGCAGCCTGTTAGGCGGCATACCGGTGGTGGAATGAATGAAGTTGTTATACAACCCTCTCACCACATCCAACTCTTCATCCCACGTGTTTAGGTTAGGAATGATTAAGGCACAGAGGATTTGGGTGACAATCTGGTTAATCTCTTCTATCTGTCCATTGGCTTCTGGATGACGACTAGATGTCATATTGATTTTTATCCCGTAGAGTTGTGAAGTTCTTCCAATCTAATTGATGAATCGGGTATCCGTTCGCTCACAAGAGTTTTCGGGGGACCAAACTGCAAAATATATTTCTGCTTGAGCTCGTGAATGACCAGATTAGTTAGTGTATGAGGCAGTAAAAAATCAGATTGAGGGATTTGGAGAAGCAATGGATAGTCACTATGACTCAAAATGTTTACTTACCTTCCCCATGTCTGTGCAATCAATGGAGACCGAGTGAACAAGACGGGAAGGGATGGGTAGCGGTTTCAGCAAACAAAGGGGTGGTTGCCTATGGATCTTTGTCTTTCGACAAACCTCACATTCTGCCACAAACTTCTGCGCAGATCCTTCATGTCCTGCTAGTCAAATTGCTTTCATAAACTTCCATAAGTTTTGGCGAAGATGAAGCGTCCACTCCGACTGTGCGCCATATTCAAGAAGTGAGTTTGGAGAGGCGCATGGTTAGGAACACACAATCCGTCAAACTTCCCATTCACAAGAACTAACAGATCCTCACACTCGCGGTAATCAAGCTGACCACTGGGGTCAGCCTTAAGCTGCTCAAGGATTGGACCGTAGTCTGGATCCTTGGCGGTGTGCTCTACCAAATCATCCTCCAATTTTTTCTGGAGGTCGTAGGGGCGTACAAGGCAAGTCATATACTCAGGTTGGCGAGGCAAAGCATGAACAATTTGGTTGTAACAACCTTTCTTATGTTTTAGTTTGAAATCAAACACGTCAATCTCATGCACCCAACTGGACAACGTTGTAGACAAGTTAGTTTGAGACTTGACCCACTGCAAGCTCTCATGATCTGAGAAGACCTTGATGTGGCTCCAATGCCTCTCTCAAGGCATAGAGCTCACACATATATGTGGAGCTTGCTACCTTGTTGCTGGGCATGTGTTTGCTATAGTACTCGAGCGGACATAATCCATCACCGTCATCACTGCGCCAAACCTATATTGGCTCGCATCTGTCGTAACTACGAATGTGAGTTTGGGATCTACAACACGGAGCATAGGATGACTCACCAAAGCCTTTTTCAAAGACTCCAAGGTACTTTCATATGCATCACTCCAAGTGTAAGGTCCATTCCTGCTAGTCAGTCGAGACAAGGGGTGAGCAATGACGCAAAAATTTGGGAAAAACTTCCGGTTATAGGAGGCTAGACTAAGAAAGGATCAAGGCACATTCACCGATCAAGGGCAATTGCGAATGACCTCAACCCTGGTTGCCTCGGGCTTCAGGCTTGAAACAGACGACCGGTGCCCAAGATAGATGACATTATCCCTCTCAAAGTCAAAATTTTCCGAGTTCAGGTGAAAATCAGAATATCGTCGAGATAAACAACTGTAAATTTGTTAATATGAATTTTGAAAACACGGTCCATGAAACTTTGGGAGGTTCCCCGCCGACACCGAAGGGCATGACGATGAACTCGTACAACCCATCGCGTGTCTTGAACGCAGTTTTGCGCTGGTCAGCCGTATCGACTTCAATCTGATGATAATCAGATTTGAGGTTGATCTTGGAGAAGACCTTGGACCCACCTGTCGCATCCAACAAGTCATCAATCCGGGGTAGGGTATAAGCATTCTTCCTTGTGATCTGATTTAGACCCCTATAGTATATGCATATCGGGGACTTCCACCCTTCTTTGGGACAAAGCGGATAGGTCCACCAAATAATGATTCGCTTGGTTTGATCCACCCTGGTGAATCATGTCATCAATTTGCTTCCCTACTTCCTCCAACCCGGTTGGTCCCTTGCAGTAGACACAACTCTTAGGAGGAACACTACCTTCCACTAGGTCAATTCTGTGCCTGATCGGACACATGGGGACTCCATGCTGCTCAGCCGAAACATCCGGAAATCGATCGAGGAGGCTGTATCTCTGGTGGTGAAGAATCGGAATCACCGAAGAAAAATCAGATTGCAAATTTGCAGCCGAAACAACAGATTCAGAAGCAGATGGAGTTGGATTGGAAGTAGATGGTGTTGAGTTGGAAGTAGATGCATCATTATAAGTAACATTTCCAAGAGAAGCAAAACTAGAAGGTACATAAGCAGGCTTCATAAAAGCTATGTACATCTGCTCACCTTCCCGCACTTGCATCATTTTCTGTAGAATTGTATCACATTCAGAAAAGTCACTGGGGGCTCGCACATTTGTTCCAAGCGGACAGAACACTCGTTGCCCATACCGTCAAGTACTCTGAAGCATGACTCCTTCCAAATCGCTCATTGGGATTGGCCCTGAAGCCACCCCTTCGCTTCAACAGGGCACTCTTTGATGATATAGTAGTCGAGAGCGTATGTGATGGTGCAATCTGCGTCAGAGGTAGTGCAAACACCTTTGATCTCATGCGCAGTTGTGGCACTAGCTTGATTGCTAACCTTGGTCTTGTAGGGGCCACAAAATCCTTCAGCCACCTCACCAAGTCAAGTCTTGTATAGCCTGCTCCTACAGCTTCTAAGAAACTCCGTACATGGGGCTCTACTTGAGTGCCTAGGACCATGGATTGAGAGGCCTGGGGTATCAGAGCCACCTCAAAGTAGGATCTTTGGGCAATCCAAGAGATGCTTACATCTTTCCCATTGTATCGAGGGGGAACCTGTGCCACCCTCTTGTCCAATTGTGGACCACTGTAGATGGGACCAACAACCGCTGGTTCCTCAATTGGGGGTGCAACAGTTGCAGAATTCCTGCTGCTTCCAGTTGCTGCAGCAGTCGCATGATCTGCAGCTGCTTCAGTCCCGACTTGACCAATGGAGGAAAGTCAAACTCTTTTTTTTTGTTTTTTGGGTAAAGATTTCCTTTATTTCAACTGCTGGAAGCTGGGTACAGCGTTCTTACACAAAATTATGTTGTTGTTGTTTTTTTTTTTTTTTTTTTTTTTTTTTTTTTTTTTTTAACCACTATTTGCCGTCCGGTTTCGACGAGTTTTAGCCTAGTCCCAAACTTTTAGGAGGCCGGGCCTCACAACGGCTGCTGTTGATAAATCTGATCGGCGACCGTCGTTTCGTTTCGGCCTCCTGAAAGGTTGGAGGCCCACTATTTTCCGAACCGACATGCAATCAGACTCGACTCTGGACTTGCTCACAACGTGCACAGATGAGAACTGATGGCAAACCAAACTCGTCAACTCAGAATCAACAACGAACTTGCTCTTAAGCTCTGTTCAGAACAACAGTACAACTCGCGGCTATGGCCGCCGAACACTGTCTCAACCACCAGCTTCACTCTCCCTCACTCTCACATGCATGCACGTACGAGGATCACCTTGAATGTCCACGCTACACAGCCACACACACTCTGTACACTCCGTCTACACAACAGCTGGGTGGCTATGGCTGCCGCCGTCTTCCTCCTCCTAGCTATGGCCGCCGTCGTCTACCTCACTGGCCAGCTATGGCCGCTGTCTTCCTCACTGCCCACTTCCTCTCTGGGCACCTGCAGACCTCCACACACAAGATACCAAGGCAGCACTTCCGCATGGCTCACAGGCGAATGAATGAATGGCTGGACGCTGCCTGTTTATTTATACTTCTTCGGAGGTGGCTGGGCCCTGCCCCAAAACGCATGGGCCTGGGCCAAAATGCGTGAGCCTGGGTCCCCCCAAGACGTGTGGACCTGGGCCTGGAAGCTTCCAAATGCGTGGGCCTTCTGGGCCAAAACGCGTGGAACTCTCCACGGGCTCCAGAACCTTCCCCACGTGCAGCCCTTACCCAGGTACCTGCTGACTGGACTGCCTTCAGTGACCTACGACCTTCTAGAGCTTACAGACTTATAGACAGACTCTAGGCCCACAGTAGACTTAGGTAGAGACTTCTAGAACAGACTCTTTAGGCCTACTGGTAACAGCCTCAACTCCTATCCTACAGACCTAGGGATCAAGTCCTAAACCAAATCGCTGGGCCTATGTACAGGGTTCAGGGTAGGTCTAGGGATCGAATCTCACTCAGCACACAGGTTCAATGTACAGGGTTACGGCACAGGTCTAGGGATCGAATCTCTGTGTCTGCAAATGTTGGGTTAACTGGGTGAAACCGTTTCAGAGGAGGGTACTAGTGCTTTAAACAAAAAAGAAAAAGAAAAAAAAAGAAAAGAACTTGAAAGAAAAGAACTTGCAGGGTCTTGAATTCCTGCAGTTTGCAAATTGAAGGGGTAGGAGTTCTAAGTCCGAACGTAACCCCGGCAGTTTGCAAATTGCCGTGGTAGGGGCTCAAGCTCAACCCCTGCAGTTTGTAAATTGTGAGGCTATGGGTTCAGCTCTGTAGTATGTTCAGAGTTGCAAAAAAAACAAAGAGTTGCAGCTTGCAGTTTGCAAACTTTTAACCACAAATGAGAGTAGTGCTCACCAAACGAAAGAAAATAAAAATACAAAAGAGGAAGGAAAAAAAAAAAGGAAAAAAAGAAAAGAAAAAGAAAAAAATAGAAAACAAAAGAAAACAAAAGAAAAAAAATCCCTTGCATAAGCTCTGAGTGCTAGGGTTCAAAGCAAGAATCTTACTCTGACCGTCGATCTCTTTGCATTGCTGAACCAGGGTTTTGTGGCAGACGTGGTGCTGAGCGCTGCTGCCTCAGAAGAAGTTGCTGCCTCTTTGTGGATAGTGAATGATACCATGGCCCGACAAATAGCGGATCGGCTTTGCTCCCTGTCTGGGGGGCTCTTCTCGGCAAGAACGACTGGTAGCCTTCTCCCATTTTCCCCTTCGTTGTCATCGTCCTCGGCAGGTTCCTCTTCGTCCGCCTCCCCGTCGAGTAATGCACTGAGGGCTTGTCAGGCAAAGACGACGACCATCCTTGCAGCGCTCACAGGACGAAAGACGGAGACGGAGCAGTCGCCTTCTTCGAGTTCTTGTGCAATGTTGCGGAGCGTTGGGAAAACTGATCGATGCGGGCTGGTATCGACAGCGCGGGTGTCGTCGCAATCTTCTATGTGGAGTGAGAATGGACTCAGCACCGTCGGTTCAAGATGTAGATCAATGGTGACGGTGGATGGACATCCGAGAAAGGCCTCGGGATGGAGATTAATCCCTGCCGCAGCTGCGAGTTCTGGCGTGGGAGGGGGAGAGAGAGGAGGTAGGGAGGAGTTTCATGACCAGGATGAGCCACTGCTGGAAAGAGAGATATTGGTTCAACATCTTCTTGTCAAGGAGGACCAGCTGGCCCTTTTGCTGGAGCTGGAACAGAAGATAAACCGTGAAGGCGTCGATCTCAGCGATCTGGCCCTCGATTACTCGCTCTGCCCTTCCAAGGATCAAGGCGGTATGCTGGGATGGATTGGGAGGGGTAAAACTGTGCCGGAATTCGAGAAGGCCGCTTTCACCGCGCCTCTTAATAAAGTGGTGAGAGTGAAAACTAAGTTTGGATGGCATTTACTGCAGGTGCTGGCCGAGCGCGCAGCCGCCAAAGTTACGGAACTGAGTGTCGTGGAATTGGAAGGGAAACTCAAGGAGATAGCTGGCTCCATTGATGATCTGGAGAGGGAGGATTTTGACCTGCCACAGCTGATCGATGTACGAGAACTGGAGGAGATCGAGCAGGCATCGTTGCCGTATTTCCGAGCTTTCCCCCTCAGCCAGTTTGGAAAATGGGGGCCATCGGTAACAGAGGCGTTGGATCAAGAGAAAGAGACGATCGTTCTCTGCCACCATGGCGTTCGATCTTTGCAGATGGCACAATGGCTCTGCTCCCAGGGCTTCATGAAGGTCAGGAACGTGACGGGGGGAATCGATGCGTACTCGAGGAAGGTTGACGCATCCGTTCCAACGTATTGACGCCCCAACTGAATGAATGACATTCTTACAACAACTCCATTTCAATTCCTTTTACTTTGATGTCAGTTCGAGGTCATGCCGATGTCCATTTGATGTTCATTTGATGTCGACTTGATGTTGATTTGATATCGATTTGATATCGATTTGATTTAAAAAAAAAAAAAAAAAAAAAAAAAAAAAAAAAGATGTTGATTTGATGCGATTTGTTGTCAATTTGTTGTCGATTTGATGTCAATTTGATGTTGATTTGATGTTGATTTGATGTCAATTTCATGTTGATTTGATGGTTGTTTGATGTCGGTTTGATGTCGATTTTATATGAATTTGATGTCAACTGGATTTCAATTACAATCAAACAGATGTGAATTCCATGTCAATCCCCATGTCAATTCAATTTGGATTGGGTTTCAGTGTGATATCGATTTGATTTGATCTCAATTGGATATCAGCTCACTTCAAGATGCATTGTTTATCAGCGTACAGACAGGGCAACTTTATGATTTCTTCAATCCAAATGCAGAGTTGTTGAATTTGGGTGACACAAACACATATTATAACACCAGCGCTGATGTGTAAACTACTAAGTCTTCTACTTCTTGGCGTATTACACCAGAGCTGTGTGCCCATTTCCAGAAAGGAGGAGGCAGTGGAGAAGAGGAGGAGATGGAAGAAGAATGTAGCAGTGAGTATATGTAGATCGAGGTTTTTGTACTCTTGCTAGTCATTAGGTGTTCGGGCCTTTACAACGGTCCCCTTTTGAATTAACGATCATTGTTAGCACCTTTTCAATCTTTAGTGAGAAGCTTCATCACAGATTTCAACCCAGTTTAACTAGAGCCAAAGTATATCACAATGTCATGGCTCTGACAAAGTCACAGTAGAGCAAATGGAACTTAGTTAAAGCACCAGTACTTGGCCCATACATCGGCCGTGGGCCGTTGTTGTTAACGGCCCGCAACGTCCGGCTTCGGGGTACCAGACCTCAATGGCTGGAAGCGCCAGCCAAAACAAAGCCGAAAGGGCGCCGCGGTGGTTTGTGAAAACTTGGCCCGCAGATGGTCGGCCGGCTCGGCATCGATAGCTGGGCCAAGTACTGGTGGTTTAAAAATAGTTTAGGAGGAGGGTACTGACTGAGAATTTCTTATCGAACAGTCTAACATCGTTCAGAGTCTTCAGTTTTCCAATCTGTGTGATCTTCAGCTGCTAGGCATGAGGGTGAAGCTCATCAACAGTGTGTGTGCTGTCTCTTATACACATCTAGATG